CAGCACATCGACCGCGTCCAGTACAATCAGCTCATCGAGCGCCAGAGCTACCAGCGCCACGACGAGTACCAGCAGGACGGCAACCAAAACCCGCACCACTGCAACGAGCAGCTCCACTTTATCGGACAGTACGTCTTCTACGACCAGCACAGGGACACCGGGAAGTGCAGAGGAGCTTACCGAGCAGCAGTGGGAGTCGCGCCGTCGGCAGGAGGCCAACCAGGCCGTCGAGCGGGTGGATACCGTAGAAGCAGCAGAAGTGGTTCAATTCGCTGCCACATTGAGTTTCAATAGCAGCCAAGGTGTGTTGGGTGAAGTGTCAGCAGATTTGGCCACAGGGCGGCTGAGGATGGTCGCCTTCTCTCCAGATGCTTTAGACGGCAACGTGATCGTCACCGCCACCGCCTCCTCAGGCTCCGAGTCCTCTGAGGTCGCAGTGGCGCGCTTGGAGGTCTCCCCGCAGGTGCTTGCTGCAGTTGCCACGGAAAATGGGTTGTTCGGGCCAGTTCTCCTGAGTATCACCACCGTCGCCGACCAGATCGCAAGGAAGTTCCAGGACCGACGTGTGGAAGGCGAAATTATGTCTGTGCTTGGCTCCGGGGTGGTGAGCCTGAACTTCCGCGCACTCGACGGGAGTACACTGAAAGCGGACAACTTGACATCGCCGCTACGCATTGTGATCCAGACGGACGAGAAGACTGCCAGCTGTGCCTTCTGGAGTGAAGACGAAAGCCGTTGGTCTTCCGATGGGATCACAACTTTGCCGGACATGGTGCCGGGCCAAATCACTTGCCTCACCACCCACCTGTCACTCTTCGGCGCTGTGGGCCAAGTCAGTTGGGACAATGCCTTCCTGGTCCTAAAATGCAGCACTGCTTGGGAGCACTTTAGTGCACAGGGCTTCCAGGAAGCACTTAGGCAAGTTTCCGGGGCTCATTGGCAATCCACGCTCCCGGCCATCTCCGTCTTCACCTTCCTCGCCCTCTTCTGCGCGGTTTTCGCCCGAGCTAGTTACGTTGACTGCAAGAAGCTGGTGCCCTGGGAGGAAATTGAGCCCGTGCTCTTCAAGCAGACCCAAGCTGCTCAAGATTCACACGCGGAGGTCCCTACCGTATGGGCCTGGCGGCGAGTGGCCGAGGCAACCCAATGGACCTGTTGGTGCGCAGGCATGTGCACCGGGATCTCAGGCATTGTGGCGCTGATCTTGGAATGCAAAGCTCCAGAGGCCAGCGTGAATCGGTGCATCAGGTCTCTCCATGCTCACCGCAGTGGTGTGGCTAGAGACAGTCTGGCGATCGTCGTGAAGCCGGATGAGAGGTTCGAGCTGGAGGAAGAGCTCGTATCCAAGCAAGTCAGCCGCTCAGCAAGAAGCAGCCGCTTATCCAGCCTCGTGCATGCCCTCGCTCTCGGCAACATGAACGGCTTCAACCTTGCTCTCCGAGACTTAAGTGCACGATGGAACGTCCACATCCATGGAGCCACTGCTGTGCAGTCCATTCTGAACAGCCGGTGGTTCGTCCGTGTTTGCCTCCTGGTTCCCGCCTTCCATCCATGGCTCGCAGTGCTGCGGCTCAGCTTGCTGACTTCCTACAAGGTGCGCGTCTCCCTGATCTTCCTGAAACTGTGTGCGGCCGGTGCCACCAATGCCATGTTCTTCAGCAGTACATCGCCTGCCCCAAACTCGGATCCAGCCTGTTTGCCCCCACAGAACATGCTGGCATGGCTCGTGCAGAACACCGTTGTGGGAATGATTTCTGCCATCCTCGGCGACTGCGCGATCTTTGCTCTTTTCTGGCTTCAAAACCGCAAGCCCGTAGAGAAGGACGGGCCAAGCACGATTGAAACATTTGGGTTGTTGGCAGGGCATCGTCGTGAGCTTCATGTGTCGTGCTGCAGGTCCACACCTGAACCTACACCCTGTGCACCTGTCCACCCTTCTAACACTACGAAGAACATGGAACCCCAAAACCCCGTCAAGGCTAGTCCCTACCCAGAGAACAGCCCAGCGACCCTAAACCCAAGTGTTTTTGAGGCTGACGCTGAACCCACTCCTAAACCTTAGGCCAGGCCGGAGTCCAGCAACCAAACGGCTTGAACGGTTTTGAATGATAGAAAATTCAGGAATCCAGGAGCAAGGTGCTTGGGTTCAGGGTACGTGACGTGCAGCCGTTGGTGTCGCTTAGTCGACGTGTGCGCAAACATGTCCAGGTGCTGCATGTATCTTTGTGCAGACTTGCCCAACCTAGCATTTGTCCACCTTTTTCTCCCAAAGTCCTCAACCAGCCGGAGTGAGGAATGGGTTGGACTCGGGGAACGTCAGATGTGTCAAGGGTCAAGGGCAGTGCAAGGGCTTGGCAGGCATTTCTTCAACACTTTGACTCGAGAAAAAAGGAGTGGGGAGCTGCAGAGTTTAGCTGTGTTTGGGCAACCTTACAAAGGGAGCGCTTCTGTCAGAGTGCGGGTCGGGTAGTCTTGGTAGTACTTCGTACGTCAATGGTTCACTTCATTTGTAAAGATGTGTGTGTTCAAACATTTGATCGTTGAAACCGTCTAATGCCAAAACGGCCTGTAACCTTTTTGAGCTGCAGGGCCCTATCTTATCTTTTATAACATCTGGGCGTTCAAACACTATACACGTTCACATAAACAGTGTCTACATGCCCCGCGCCCAACCCTGCAGAAGGACTGGACAACAGCTGCGAAGGCCCGGCAACTGAACATCTGGAGTTGTCGAGCCGGGCTGTTTTGGTTCCTGTGGCTTGTCTACTCAACATCGTGCCTGCTCTACATCATGATGTTCTTGGCAACATCGCGCCTGGCAGATGCGCACGGCTGGTACTTAGCCACAGGCATGAGCCTGCTGCAGGATTTGGTGGCTCTGCCGCTCTTCGTGGCCCTTGTCCTTGGTACCATGGCTTCCTTGGCCTTGCTGAGCAGCGGGGTTCGAGCGAGGACGGCGGCCAGGTGGCTTAAAGGAGAGGCTGAGCAGACCGAGCTGGAGGAGGCTCTTAGCCGTCCTGACTCGGAGTGCTCCTCCGCGAGGATGGAGATTGAAGGTTCTCATTGTCATGGTCGCAATCTCATCGAGCATGCCTGGATGGGAATCCTTCCTGGCACCCTGTTGGATGCCGGCGAATTGAGCAGCGGGAATTTTGTTGCCAGGTCCCCTGGTGCCTCGTGCAAATAGGAGTTTCCAGAAATGAGGGACCGTGATTGGATCCTGCATCAAAGATTCCCTGGAGACCCGTACAGTACAAGTCTCCCTATTTTCTGAAACCCTCGTATGATCCGTCTGGTCCATGCTCGGCGACTCCAAAAGGAGCGAAAACGAGCCAACTGAACTTCCCTCGGCATCAGGTGTTCCAGCCTGGACAACCTCGTGTTGGAATAATAGCCCTGGGGCTGATTTCCGAGACCCTATCGAAGGTCAGCTCGCGAGTTGCGGGTTTCCTTACGAAGAGCCCGAGCAATTCTTGTGCTCGTCGTCCCAGGATTTCCGCAACTCGTGTGAGGTGTCAGTGCATGCTGCTTGACAGGGGATCTTCCACCTTCCCCAAACCTTGGACCCTATGTACCAAGAGTGACAGCCTAGTTCGTAATCCGCGCACAATGCGCACATCACCCTTTGCGTGGAAGATTGTGTCGCAAACGGACCGAAGTTGCAATGCGTGCTGTGGTGATCGGCACTCGCAGGGCCGAGGCTGCTATTTTCAATTGAGAACATGGGACCTGCAACACAATAATGTATTAATGTATACTGCGGTGTAGCGTTTAGGTAGCCACTGAACCGTCATTGCCCGTGTCTTTCGGGCCTCTCTGCGTGACGCATCGTTCATAAGAGCGCTGCGGCCCCACTCGGCCAGGAACTCTGAACATAACTTCCAACAAATCATCCAGCAACAGTGATGCAGCGAAGTTCCTCGTCGGGCCAGCAGCTGAGAACTCAATTTTGGGCTACCCAGGCTCCGGTACTTGCTGCAGGATGCCCAAGCTTTTGCTGCGGAAATTCACGTGGTTCTGCCGAAGGATGCAGAGACCCGGGTACTCATTGGAATCAGCACATCAGCTGTGGTAATTCGGACTGGACGCATGCAGCTTGCATACGATCGAAAGTTTGAGTTGCGGAGTATCTCCAAGCCATTGGGAAGGTAAGAAAGGCAAAGGGTTGGATGATTGCCGAGACAGATGGTTTATGTGGGACATACAGATCGTCAGTCAAATCTGCAATGTTACCCTCGATCTTCAGCGGTGGACAGTGGAAGCGTGCTGTCTGTCCTGAAACTTCGAAGAATAACGTGGAGGTGTAGGTAACAACGGACCCAATGGGACAGTTCTCAGCATCTTCCTAAAATATGTGGTGTTCCGAGTATATGGAATCCGGAATGAGTATATGTGCAGTGCTGTCTCCTCCGCTTTTGATCCAACTCCTCAGACAGGGTGTGGTCGTAAGTTGTGAGCCAACAGCCAGCACCGTCCTGCCGACGCATGTCTCAAACCTTTCCTTCGGTCTATCCTTGCTAATCTCCCCAGTCCGCAAGCGCTCTAAATCGCGGCAGTAGGTTATTGCTTCTAAGGAGGGTGTTCAAGAGGGCCAGAACCAGCGGGTGGAGGGCGGCCGCGTCACAGACCTCGACGGCCAAGAAATTTCAGGCTTGGCGCAACGGGCCGTGCAGCGATGCTTTCGGATTCCTAATGGAGAGCCGGGTTTCGACTGCACAGCCTGAATCTCTAAAGTCCCGAATGCCTTCCTTGGGGAGCCACTGAGCCAGAGCCTGCGTGGACACTGTGGGCCAGGAGAGGGCTGCAGCTTCTACACCTGCGGGCCGTCAATGCGCCTTGCCGAGGCTGGAGCAGTGACATGTGCTGTATTCGGCTGAACTCCATGTGGGTAGTTGTCAAAATTATGGTCCCTTTTGGGGTACCCTAAATAATAGGTGCCGTATTATACTAAGGACCCAAAAAGGGACCCTAATTTTGACAACCACCCATGTGTCGTGGACGGCGGGTCGGGGTCTGGGCAGTAGTGACTTTAAGCTGTCGGCGCCCTGATCTGAGGCTGTTGAATAAAGTGCTCCCTATTCAACTCGTGCAATTACTGCCAAGTTGCTCCCGAGACCGTCAGGGAACAGCAGCTTGAAGTAAGTTGCACTCCTCCATTCCTGTGATAAGATTCAGGCAGCTTGGGAGTATGTCGCAAGTGGTGGCCACTTCATGCTCCAGACTTGGGTATGCACATTCTTGCCTCGCAAAATGTTGCCCAGACAGACAAACGATAAACCTGCTTTTATCGTCACCTTTGAATCGCTTTCCCCAGAATGTACAGCGCACCGTTCATGTGTGTAGCATGGGTTTTCATGACTGCAGTATCTGGAAGGGTTTACTTGGACGCCCTCCCGTGGGGTGTGAATGGGCTGCTCTTCTGGATGATCTAGTTGGGGCGTAAGTATTCAACCCCTCATGCCAGGGCTCTGAAGCGAGACCCAGCGCACGACCCTCGACTCTGCAAGCGGGTCGCTGGTTTCAGAAGTTCAGATTGCTCAGCCAGGGCCCATCCATCGCCTCTAGGCCCCGTGTCATCTCGGGAGTCTGCCAGTGCTGCGACTGAATTCAGGCTAGGACTTGCTGTGGGAGCCGGCGCAGAGTTGTAGAGAGGGACAGCACCAGGCTACCTTGAGATGCTCGAGACTGCTGCGCTTGAAGCCGGGCGACTCTGCATAGTTGTGTAGTTGGGTTTCATGCTTTGCTTCAGTACTGGTACCACTGTATTACCTATTTCATGTCTGTTCATGACTGCATGTAGCACTGCGACGACGACGACGTGCTACCAAAACTCCTGTGGTGCTGCTGATCTGCTGGGACGACGACTACATGTTCTACCACTTCTGGAAGCGCCATTGAAAATTGTTGTTCCACTGCTTCCACTTTGCTGCTGCATAGCTCTGCAACTTCTAGCACTACGACAGCGACTGCGCGTACTCAATCCCTGCTGGCTCCACGAAGCTAGCATGCTTCTCAGCATGTTTTCCAGCCTCAAGCCTTGCAAGATCCTTCGAGGTGTGAAGGTTCACCTGACCCTGCAAACTCACAGAACTTGAGTGTTCCTACATGGTCTTAGCAGTTGGAATGCACGTTCAAGGCACGCTTTGAACAAAATCTTGCCTCAGATATACGTGTAGCATGGCATGTGCGATAGGAGACGATCCCTCCCCCAAACCATGTCCAGAGCTCCAGCTCTTTGACCGACGGAGCCTGGGAGACATCCGGCAAAGCCCTCTTGGGCTCAGGCTACCCGGTACCTGGGCCGAGTCCTTCCGAGATCGTCGGTGTCAACTGCCTCGCGGTCCGTCGCTGCGGCGCGAGGCGCCAGGGCAGTGCGGGGTGCAAGGCGAGTCTTTAGGGATAGGGTCGCTACCCAATGACATGGTCTGATCTCATTTTTTGGAGATTTCGGGGTGGTCTCTTGTTCGCAGTCTCTCTCAGTCTCAGTGGTCGCTCCGTATTGGGTGGTGTGAAGTTAAAGTATGGGCATTCGGGGACTTGATTGATTAACCGCGCGCCCTAACCGCGCGCCCTTGTCATGCCGGACTTATTCTGTTGTTTTCCGCCACGTCTCGTGGGTTGGAACAAGTTATTGACGGAACGCTTTTGCTAGAAGCCCTCTTCCTCTTGGTGCAAAAGTTGGTGGGGCCAAAGTGACATTCCGTCTATGCGCAACGAGCTGTGTCCGGGAATCCCTACACTCGCTCCAGCTTCTCGAGCATGCTGAAGTCAGCACATGTTGCCGAAAAGTAGAGACTTCTCGAAATCCTTCATCCTTCAGACACTGCAGATCGAAGTGTGAACGAATCTCTGGGAGGCGCTACTTGCTGGTCTTCCCCCAGGAATCGCTTCGAGTCGACCCTCTCCGGCCTTTGGAGTTCTCAGGTTATCCTATGTTCTCATGCTGTGCTAGAGCCCTGCAGAACCTCCAAGGACCGACATGCCTTGGCCCTCCTGGGTTCAAGCGCCACACCGAGCCTTTGCGAGACCCTGTCCACAAGCCAATCCGACGCCAGGAGCCCCTGCAATCTCCTTTGCCTCAAGCATCGCGGGGGACCAGGCGAGCTTGGTCCTTTCGCGGCCCCCTTGTGATCTGCTTCGTCTCGGTTGTTCGGGTTTGTCAGCCTTAATCAATTGGCGGCCAGGGCAAACTTGCATCGAGCAACGTTAGCTCTTGTCTCCTGTCAACACTTAACTTATCCCGCTCGCGGCATTGATCTCCTGTTCAAAAGGGTCTTTACCTGGGCATCTTCAGGTTCTCTTGTTGGACTGCACAACACCTCTGTGTTCAGCCTCACCTTGCCAAAGGCGCTGACATCTCTGTGCGGCCTCGTCTTTGCATGCAAAGACGCACCGGAGGCCACCCTGTCATTGTGTTCAGTCTGTGCTGAATTGGGTTTGGCGTGCGGACCGCTACATTTTTTGGCCGCCGCTTATGCTTGTGGATCTTGTCACTCGGAACATGATGCGAAGCACGGGTAAGTAGCAGTCTGATTCACGATACTGGGACAGCGAAGTAGCTGTGAGAGCAGCGCAGGCCGTCTTTCCTGCGCTATCGATGCAGGAGGTTCGGCCTGGATGTGGCCAAAGGTTTTGAGTGGAAGAGTATCTACTGCCTGTGACGTGAATGGTGCTCATCTTCGCACCTGATCCGAAGATGGTGCATGGCAGGCCCAATGCACACGATAGCAAAGTAATTAGCATACTGAAGTAGTGCCCGCTGTTGCGTTCGAGCCTACCTGCTAGTTTCAAGTCCCGTTGTGCACAAAGGCGTTCCAGGACAAGATTTCGGAGGAGTTCTGCAAACCTTAAAGACTACCGGCCCAGCTGATGCCAGATGGCGCTGGCAGTTCTTCGCCGTGGAGTGCGGCCCTGGCGTGGCGAAAAGATGCCTGACACACTGGAAGAGGCTGGGGTCCCCGCCCGGTTCTATGCACACATCCACACATCTACACATGACATGTGAGTGGGTTCAGTGGGTGGCCCCTCCTGCCCCAAACATTTCACCCCGGCCTGAGTAGTGTGTCACATTATATGGGCTTCGCTGGAAGGGTTTTGGGAGGGTCAGTTTTTGTGTTTTGTTGTTGGGGGGGGGGGGGGCGGGGGTTGGATTGTCAGTTAGCTGGACTTAACTAGAGTAGGCTTAGGAGGGTCCTTTTGTTTTTCTTCGGGGGGTGATGGGGGGTTAAATTCGATTGGGGTTTGGGATTTGGAAAGAAAAGCCTAAACCCTAAACCCTAAACCCTAAACCCTAAACCGTTGGACATCAAGCCTCGGGCCTCTTCCCCTCATCCTCCACTCTGTCAAGATTGACCACTCGCAGTAAGGGTCAAGCAAACCATAAACCTCCGTCGGGCAAGAAAGCGCATGAATTATAGAGGGTGGGGAAGACTAATGACAAAAACTGAATAAGCCACCGACAGACGCATGAAAGACGCTCACCTAATTAAAGAGAGTACGACATCAAAAGCCATCAATCTAAATGCTGCCACGAATGTGGCTTCCATCACCGCGTCAACCTAGTGCTGCGGCCACGCCTGGTTGCAGGGTCGTGAGCACTCTGGTCTAGTGTCATTCGCATTAAGACCGATCGCCAGACGGGCCCCGCGAGGCCGCGAGGGTCATTACTCGTTGTAAGTTCACGAGATTTTATGGCAGTCCTTCGATTTGAGGGTGCCGTTCGAAACTGCTGGCAGTGTCCGGAAAGTGGTCCTAATCTCCGACATCACGCGGGGGACCTGCCGCGAGGATGATGTACCCCCAACCCTCAGGTGAAGTGCTGCAGCAGAGTTACCTGCAGTTACTACAGAGTCTAGGACCATTATACTCCGTTATATTAAGATATATCAAACTATACTATATATTATACTATATTACATCCACAATAAGACCTGTCGATCTCTCTTCACATGTAAACGCCCCACCCCCTGGCCCTGGCGAGCAGGCACGGCAGCTCTGGGGCGCTGACCGGGTGGAGGAGGTCCTTAGCTGCTGGCTGGCGCAATTCCACGCGCTCTTCGGGCCACCCTTGGGGGAGCTGGCCGAGGCGGCCAGGCAGCTTATACCCATAGGCCCTAAAGTACTTCCTTTTTGGGATAATGTATATATATATATATATAGAATCCTATAAGGTAACCTCAAAAAGGAACTACTATGGGGCCCATGGGTAAGGGCTCTTTGGGGCAGCTTGCGATGAGAAGGTGGGATTCGCGTGCAGGCTCTGCTATTTTGCACAGTTCTTCGCCCGCCTGTAACACACACCGTCGCTCA